TGAAAAGTGAATTCTTAAAGAGCTTACCATTGTCTTTTTAATAGATGATAGAAGTGTTGAATTTGGCTAGAGGTAGCAGAGTATGTTACATAATATAAGTACACATGGGTGTTTCCTCATGACTTGGTGTGCTTTCTTTTTAGGAACGGACAATTGAACGCTTGAAGGAGCAACGGGACAGAGATGAGCGAGAGAAGCAGGAGGAGATTGATACCTACAAAAAAGATCTTAGAGACTTGAAAGAGAAAGTCAGCCTGCTGCAAGGAGACCTCTCGGAGAAGGAGGTCAGGGTTACCAGACGTACTCGGTTTGCTTAGTCATTATAGTGTATGCATCTGCTGCTGTCTGCACAATGCAGGAAAGGTTCTCTGAATGTTCTGTGACAAGCTTTCTAGATGCTCAGGAAGCTGGGAGGGCTACAGTAGATTGCTTATCACTCCCTAATCCTTTACTACTTTGTTCTCTGTTCTAAGACTTGGTTTCTTATGTGATACCGATACTTTACAGATGCTAGAGTACCTGCAGCCTAGTTATATATGGAGAAACACTGCTAATAGTTAGAAAAGTGACACACAAAAGGAAGAAATCTAATTACAGCCACTGTTAGAAACATAATTACCTGTAACTTAGGTGACTTCATGAATCTTGATCTTAGTTTTGAATAATCCTGTTAGTATAACTTAAATAGCTAAAATGTTGACTGCTGTGTGATGAGTAATTCTGTAGGTTTGTCTAATGACTTTAGGAGAATTTATAGAAGTAAGTTTCTACAAGAATTTCCTGCTAAAAAAGGGGAGAAATCCACATTCAAGTTAGTGTAGTTACTAAGTTTGGCTACTTATGTTCTCAAAGCTCAGTCTCCGTTTATTTCGTGAGAGTAAGTATATTAGGTTAGAACTCTTGTTCTGTTTTGAGACAAGGCCTCCTCTATCTCAGACTGGCCTTCCACTTCCGCTCCTCCTGCCTTCACCTCCGAGTGCTGGAATTACAAGTGTGTTCTGTGCCTGGTCTATGTGGTCCTGGAAATTGAACTAGGACTTGATTCATGTCGGGCAAGCTTTTTACCTGAGCTGCATCCCAAGCATTTTTTAGGACTCTATGTCACTGTTCATTAAGTCCTGAGGATCAGCATTATTTTGATTAATGTCTGGAAACTAAAGCTAATCCTGTTTTATAGTTCATGGATGTTCTTGAAATGGAAACTTGCAGCACTATGAATAAACATTTAAACAGTTAAATCTACATTTTATTTCACAGTATTTATCTTAACATGTCTTGCTGCTTTTAGGCTTCTCTACTGGATCTCAAAGAGCATGCTTCTTCCCTGGCTTCCTCAGGACTGAAAAAGGACTCACGCCTCAAGACCCTAGAAATTGCTCTTGAGCAGAAGAAGGAAGAGTGCCTGAAAATGGAGTCCCAGCTGAAGAAGGTTGAAGAGAAAGTTCCCATTCTTACTTCTCTTTACATACGAACACAGTAGATAGCACTGAGT